TATTTTTTACATTGTACAATATTTCATTTTAATCCGTCACATTTGTTTATTGTATGAAACATAATATTCACATATATATTCGCTCTAATTGGAATATTTTCGTGAATTAAAACATATATAGTCCACATCAGAATCAGAAAAATATCAAGCTAAACTTGATAATTTGATGCTTGACAACATCAGAAACTTAAATGATATTCTTGGTATGTTAATCTTTGATCCTAATAGTACAATTTTTGAGTATAATGTTTTCTAATAAAACTTACAATTACAGATAGTATATTTCAAACATGTATTCAAAAGATTGATGATAGTTTGTATGAATTGGAATCTCCAATGCAAACTGGCAATCAAAATTCAACCCCAGAATATACCTTATCAATGATAGAGAAGGCAACAACTGAGACTTCGGAATTCTCCTCTTCTCTTAAAAAATTTTTACAAAGCAATCGAACAAAAGATCATACTGAAGTGATCAAATCTGCTACAAATTTCTCACAAGCAATTTCCGAAGTGCTGGTAAATGCCAAAGGTATTATACGTCTTGCAGATGAAGATGATGAAATAACAGATGAAATTATGGGGGCTTCCAAAATGGCTGCAAATATGTCTCAACAGTTCTTATTGAATGTGCAATCGTTCAAGCTCGACAATTTGTCAGAATCACAACGAACTGAGTTGGTATTGCAAAGTGATAAGAATGTTCAAAATGCTCTGCAAAAGGTCTCTAAAGTAGTCGAAGGTATGTTGAGGCATAATCTAGATGTTACTAACAAGGCCGATGGTGAAATTGGCAATTTAGTAGAACAGGAGATGATGAATGCAGCTAAAGTTATTGAGGCAGCCACTGCAAGAATTCAAGCTTTGATGTTACGACCACGAGATACTGGGCTCTCTGCCACTGAACTAAACGTGCATGATGCAATCCTAGAATCTGCATTGGCTGTCACTAATGCTATTGCAAATTTAATACGGTGTGCTACTGCTTCCCAACAGGAAATTGTTGCACAAGGACGTGGCTCGAGTAGTACTGCTGCTTTTTACAAAAAG